CCAGTTTTCTTGGGGGGAAGTATGAATGCATCCAGAGGTGGGCTCTTGAACTCAGACTGAATCCTAAACCATGCTGCTTTTCCTCTTCCACACAAGTCCTACCTACATGCTAGGCTTGGCTATTCTGAAAGGCAGCATGACTATGGCTATGAAAGAGGTGATATTTCAGGCTACTTTACATTCTTTCAAATTCTAGCACTAAACACCTGTTCTTGAGAGTATCTGGGCATGCCTCTCGATTGCAACTTTAAAGAGTACAACTACTATCTTGTTGACTTTAGCTCCAGTAAATGGGAATTTTATTTTTATTTTTTTGCTCAGTGACCAAACCTTTTACCAGCACCTACGTCCCAAAACTAGGTCTTTCCTTACCACCCCTATTCAAACCCTGGCTTTTTTTCAACATGATATATCATTTTCACTGGCCCTGGGGTCATGCTATCACTGCCATCCTATAGCTTCTGCTACTTATCTTAGGCTGTGCCCACTTTCAGGCCTCCTTGGCAATGACAGACACCTTCTTAAATATTTTCCTATTGCTTATCACTGGGGAGGCAGTGTATCATAGCGATGTAAGAGCCTTGGGGAGACATGGGACAAGTTTACAAGTTCCCTAAACTTGCCTTCAAAGTATATTCTGGAGATTAAAATGAGATGACATATTTTTAAGTGCTTAGCACCTTATGGCCAGAATTGCTATCTCATCGGGTACCCAATACTCTTTCACTGCTTTGAGAAACAGAACCTTTGTTGTTGGGTGTGATGATGTGCCAACCATGGAAACCACAGTTCTCTGCTGCCTTGTAGCTAGGTTGACCAATGAATGGGCTGAGTTGTTTTATTGTATGGATGGCTGACCTAGTTGGGAGGCTCTTACAAATATTATCCTTCTTACAAAGCTAGAGCAAGCATCTTGGATCATGTGGCTACCCCGAAGAAGGCAGCTCTGCACTAATGGAGGTGGGGGAGAGTTCGCAGGAGCCCAGGTCCCAGATGACCATGGATTTGCCATACCAGCTTACCTCTGTACTCTCATGTGTGAGAAAAAGCCAGCCTCATTGAAAACAATTTTATTTTGTGTTTCTAGTATTAGAGCCTGGACTTAATTCTTAATGGGTATACATAATAAATGCTGGTCAAGATTATTGGTCTCTCTTTGTATCATTTCCCTAACTCTGTGAAATAACTGTCTGCTATGATCTCCAGGCTGATCTGACCTACCACATTGGTCACTTACTTGTTCCAGTTAAAACAGGAAAGGAAATACACACTGCAGCAGACCCAGAGGCATATTAATGTCACAATTAGCCAGGTTTTTCTTTAGTTGGAGCCATGAGGAGCAATATTTCTTACCCATTCTTTGTCAATGTGCTGACTAGCTTTTATGACCTCCAAGAATGCATCCTTGGTCAAGGAAATCTTCATATTATCTGCATGCTGTGATAATATTATTATTATTTAATCTATAATAATAAAAGCATAATATGGCAGAGTGGTTATGGGTGATCAGGCAGGCTGGCAAGCTGTTAGGAGCCAGTGGTCCCAGATTATAAGAGGGTGCAGAGAAAGAGAAAGAGAGAGAAAGATGGGAAAAAAAACCCACTCGCCTGCCTGCCTGATTGCCCCTAACTGCTTGCCTGCCTGCCTGATTGCCCCTAACCACTCCACCTGCCTGCCTGATTGTCCCTAACTGTTCACCTGCCTGCATGATAATCCCTAACCACTCTTCCTGCCTGCCTGATTGCCCCTAACTGCCTCTACCTCAGCCTTTGTCATGGCGGCTTCATCTGGAAGTATGTCCAGAATGATGGCTGAAAGGTCGTCGGCTGTCCAGTCTAATTAGCATATTATGCTTTTATTATTATAGATTAAATTTAGAAACAGTTTTCAGTCTATCACTACCAAATGAGTAATTTAGCATACAAACATGTATGCACTTATTTATTTTTATTAAAAACCATGCAGCTGAGAATTAAATAATTTATACATAAATATATATATGAATACCCGACATTAATAAAGCCCTAAGTCATAGAGGAAAAATATTGTTATATATATATTATTCTCAGCATGCAAGTTAGGAGGAAAAAACCTCGAGCCTCAATCAGTCTTTAAACTTTGATAGTTTTGCAAATCAGTTCTAATCAGTAGCAATGGGACCATTTCTTAGATGAGGCTTGCAAAGTAGAATTTTTATGTTGCTGGGACAAAAGCCAAGTGATAAACACAACATCTGATGATCTTACTGATCTCCTGAGGAAATACTTTACATGCTTGTAAAATGAGGAAGTCTAATATAGTGGAGTTTGTTTTTTACATTATTCTCACTGAACTTTATTTATCTTTATTTTTATTGATTTCAGAGAGGAAGAGAGAGGGAGAGAGAGATAGAAACATCAATGATGAGAGAGAATCATTGATTGGCTACCTTCTGAGCCTGCAACCCGGGCATGTGCCCTGACCTGGAATTGAACTGTGACCTCCTGTTCCATAGATCGATGCTCAACCACTGAGCCACACCAGCCAGGCTCATGCTAAACTTTAAAAGCAGGATGCACACATACTAAATTATTACTGATCTACCAGATTAGTTTTGAACTTGTTGAATAACCACAATCCCTGCTCTTTCTGAAAGCTGGCATTTATTAAACTTACAGAGTTCCCCATGTTCCTGATGTTAGTTATAATTTCAGGGGTTTCACCTAAGTCAGAGTAATACATGATTACTCTCATTGATTGCTTACTGTTTGTAGTATCCATATATCATTCATTTAGTCCATTCATGCTGACCAAAGAAGTGAAAAATGTGAGGAATATGCTTTTTGTAAAATGTCCAGTTACTTACTTATAAAGCACCAAAGGCCAATGATGATAATGTGGTGTGAGCTCAGCGTGTGATTCACGGGTCCCTCTGTACCTGAAGTTCAATTGTAAAAAGAACCCATCCACTGTGGGTTGTCTCAAATAGTTCAACATTATATTTATAATCTTGTACAGAACTGAAATTAAAGTATTGATGTTATAATAAGCATGTTGGTTTAGGAATGTAACTTCTTAAAATATCATTTCAACATTATATTTATAATCTTGTACAGAACTGAAATTAAAGTATTGATGTTATAATAAGCATGTTGGTTTAGGAATGTAACTTCTTAAAATATCATTTCAAAAAGAGATGAAAGCATCTATGGAGTTGGTAAAAAAAAGTTTTATTTTATATAATTGTATGGATTGCTATCTCATGAACATGTTATTTATAAAAGGTAACAGGGCAAAAAACAAACGAAACAAAAAAAGCCACTAGGTATCTACAAATAACCACCTTCGAAAGGACTAAGAGGAAAATAAAATTTTGGTGCTAGATAAGACAAAGGCAAAGTCAAAGAACTGCTCAAAATAATAATAACAATAATAGGTCATTTGGTTTTGACACTATTAATAACCAATTTGACTAATTCCATTGCTCACTAATATACAGTGACTCTTCTGGTTATTGTAAGAGCCAAATAATGTAATCTATGAGTGAAGCTACTCTGGACTGTCTACAATAGATGCTAAATGGAAACCCCAGAATTCACCCAGAGTGTCTTCTGAGTGTGAAAAAGTGCCATGTGTAATTTAAATTTTTTTTTAATTCAATCTTTTACCCACACTGAGAATTTTAGCAGTGTCTTCCCAGTGTAAAACCATGTCTTGTCACTCCACTATATTCAGAATTTGTACTAATCCTGACAGAAGTTGAAACCACAGTTTCCATTTTATGTTTACTCAACAAAGGGCCTTCTTTCTGAGCTGGTGCAAACTGATAGTTTAAACAACCAAAATAAATGAGTAGGTAAAAGTATTTTTTAAAGCACCCGTTTCCATTGCTAGAGCTGTGAGGGTGTCAGTGGAAGTATCTGTCACTTCATGGATGTCAAGGTTGATCCAATGCTGTGTGCTCGTGTTTGGAATGACAATGACCTTCTTAGAGAGGTCACATCACTGGGTGAAGGTAGACACTTTTACATACTCATTAAAACAAGTTTCCTGCCATGGCCAGTTTGGCTCAGTGGATGGAGCTTCGGCCTGGGACCGAAGGGTCCCAGGTTTGATTCTGGTCAAGGGCATGTATCTCAGTTGCGGGCACTGGTCGGGGTTCATGCAGGAGGCAACCAATCGATGTGTTTCTCTCACATCGATGTTTCTCTGTCTTTCCCTCTCTCTTCCACTCACTCTAAAAATCAATGGAAAAATATCCTCGAGTGAGGATTTAAAAAACAACAACACAACAAGTTTCCTAAAACAAACAAACAAACAAAACCCAACAAGTTTCCTTAGGAGTTCAACGAGGCAATGTTATTAACCTAGTGTGCTTAAAATGTACAAAAATGCAATAAAATATATATATATATATATCTCTAAAATATTCTAGTCAGATTTTCTTCTGATTGGCTACCCAATTGGGGGCAAATTAATGAGACTTTCACAAACAATAATCTGAAATATAAAATTAAATTTGGGTTTAAAATTTCTTGACATTTCTTGACATAAACCTATGATACCTATTAATTGGATGGTAATAAAAAAAAAGACACAGGATGCTGGAACTGACCCTTGACTGTTTGACCCATACTAATTTCATATATCTTGCCAGAATTAACTATATTTTTAAACATATACACTGTGCAATTATAGAGGTTAGTACATTTTTCAGATATAAACTCAATGGCATGTTGCTGAAGTTGGCTTCTTCTAGAATTTGAAGTTATTTTAAATAGTGAATGAGAATATTTTTAAAAGATCATAAAAATATTGCTTCATCGAATCTCATCAAAGTAAGATTCCAAGACCCTTATACTTCTCAAAACTTCTAAAGTCCGTTATCCGATTGAGTTGGGTGAAATTTACAGGTCAAAGTGTTCAGCAAAAATCTTAGCTACTTAGAGAAAGAACTGAGACTCTTCTGAGAGTCACACATTGATGAGAAACAGACTGAAAATAACCAAAATAGGCAGAAATGGTGATTCAGAAAGTGGCAATGTTGGCATAACTATCTGAGAATCACAAGTTGTGGACCACAAGTTGAACATGAATATGTAAAACAGCAGTGGAAACAAACAAAAAATGCCATATTAGGATGTCCCAAAGAGAATATGACAGATAAATCTGTTGAAGTTAGATACCACGAAGACCGTCTTTTGCCAGAGCTCTGTGCAGTGCCAGGATAGCAGAATAGCGGTGGTTAAACACAGCCAGACAGTTCTATTGTTCACTGTGGGGCAAGACCTCCTTGATTTGGAAGCCTGCCTTTAAAGGTAAGGGCATAGTTCAGAAGGCACATACTAGGTAAGGGATTCTGACAGGGAGGAGGGTCCGGGTTTTGTTATGCGTTAACGCAGCCTTTCAAACACAAGGCCCCAGATTCAGCAGTAGATGTTTGGTGAACCTTATCTCCCCTCAGTGTATATGGGAAGCAGGAAAATAAACAAAGCTTTTATTCTTTGTTTCTTTCCTGGAATAAAATATCAGGTGGCGTAGATGACCTGAGGACTCCTCATTTGCTAGATTGCTTTAAAGGTCAGAATTTGAAAATTAAGGATTAACTGGAGATTGATAGTACATGAGTGGGAGTGATAAACAGGCCCTTCTTCATTTTGTGCCATTTCCTCTAGCGCGAGGATGTCAACAAATACCACGTAGAAATCACGCAGAATGTCATCTCTGACAGGCTGATAGTGACTTCCTGGAAAGCTGAGATGAGAGGACATGAAGCGTGTCCCAACACCGAGTGAGATAAGTGACATTGGCCACAGATATTTGCTATTCCCGTTTTGCTTGTTTCAAGTGACCTTAAAGATCTCAGAGACATACAAAGGTGGCAGATGACCCCACCACCCACTCACCCTACCTATATACTACATGCAAGGGAGCTGTAGTGAGAACAAAAATGAGCTTTGGGCCCTGACTGGTTTGGCTCAGTGGATAGAGCATTGCCCTGCGGACTGAAAGATCCCAGGTTCGATTCCAGTCAAGGGCATGTACCTTGGTTGTGGGCACATCCCCAGTGGGAGTGTGCAGGAGGCAGCTGATCGATGTTTCTCTCTCATCGATGTTTCTAGCTCTCTATCCCTCTCCCTTCCTCTCTGTGAAAAATCAATAAAATATATTTTTTTAAAAATGAGCTTTGAGGACAAAGTAGAGGATTTTAGCTGAGAAAGAAAACGTTTGCTCTTCCATCGAAGATTCCCATGCCTCTGAGAAGTTCCCAAGAGTGACGTGATCTAGCTGACGTGGGTCCACAGGTCACCAAACAACATCTCAAGACTGTGGACTCTCGCTGTATCCTCCTGACAGGTAGAAGCCAGTTTACCAACCTCCTGGGATAGTGTAGACAGTAAAACACCTGCTTTGTTTGCTGTCTTCTCCGAGCGTGAGACACTCGCCTTGAGAAACCTTCCTGCTGAATGCAGTTGACCTACCACTTGACTAATCAGAGGAAATTATCCAAAGCTAATTAGGTAACAGTGTGACCCAGAAGGAAACAGATAAAACAGCTGCCTGATTTAAACCCTGAGGAATGAAGCAGAAAGGTAACAAGGACGCAGAGAGCATGGCCAGAGTGAATGCAGTCCATGAGAGGTTGGCTGAGAGGAGGGAACACCCTTTGATTAGAGGCGAATGTATCGTATGGCTCCTCCACCCTCGGCGATGGATGTCAGCCAGGCCTTTTCCTCGGACTTCTCAATAGCACATTCTTCCAAGTACAGGTGATGCCATCCTTCGGAAGAGTGGGCGTTGGGAGAAGCAGCAGAAGGTTCTTGTGTCTATGTTGATTTGAAATTAATTAAACCTGTATCCTCTTCATCCTCTGTTGGCAGGCCCAGCGGGCTCCCCCCGGGCTGCTCCTCTTGGAGAACATTAGCACCATTCAGTGTTAAGATTCATTATCACTGCAAAAAAAACAACAACACAGAACAGTCGTGTCTTTCCAAGAAGCTACCCAGAGCTGGTCACTTCACCATGGAGGTGACTCATGAGAGCATAAACAGTCAGCAAGCCAACAGCCTTCAGTTTACAATTTCTAAAACAAAAGTCAATTAGGATATTTTAGTTGATCCGAGAAGAAAACTCATGAAGGCCAAGAAATAATCCCTAACTGTTGCTCTAATATCCTTCCCTGGTGCTGACGTGGAGAGAACCAGATGGAGTCAGGGGTTCCCCTTTTAATTAAATCTAATCCCATTCTCTATGCATAAATGCCAATTGCCTTTTTTTTTTCCTTTTAAAAAAATTTCCATGTGTTGTTTTCCCTGAGTTTGTGGCCCTGGCAGGATTTCCCCTACCCCCCAAGCCCATTTTGTTCATATCCACAGGATCTGGAGGTGCCCTCTCGGTGTCCTTTAGAATCCGATCATCAGGCACCCAGGGGTGTGAGTTGACATTAATTATGGATGTGGTATTTGGACATGACCATGCTGGCTGGCTAACTGGTGCTTTGTTTCTAGCGTGGCTATCTCTGCCACATACCTGGCTTTTCCCCAGTAGGACCAAGCCACCATTCAAGTCTCCTCGAAGGCAGGCCACGCTACCTCTCCTCCACATCTCTCTGTACTTTGGTGTCCCTTCACTCACATCCTAGCACATCTGAACTTGAAGCGACCTCTGTCTCCAAGGAAGTGCCTGAATGAGAATAATCAACATGACCTCGTGTCTCCTTAGTTTATAGGCATATGTAGTCTGCAATAGATTGTTCTTCTGACTCCTGCTCCGGTGCTCTCCTGCTCCGTGAAACACCCCGTGTTCCGAAAAGGACTCTGAAGCAACTTGATAGGTAGATCCACAAAAAAGGAGGGAAACATTGTGTGTGTGTGTTTATGTTATGAGGATGGGGAAGAGGTTGTGATAAGGAGGGATGATCAATGGGAAAGAAGGGGGAAGGCAGACATTGTCAAAAGGACAACTTCTGTAGCAAAACTTATTTAAAGTGAAACCTAATTGAAAATTAAGACCTTTTTTTCCCCTAATTCTCACCCAAGGGTATTTTTTCCATTGATTTTTAGAGAGAGCGTGGGAGGGAGGGAGGGAGGAGGGGGTAGGAAGGAGAGAGAGAGAGAAACATCGATGTGAGAGAGACATTTACTGGCTGTCTCCCTCACCCTGACCAGGGACTGGGGATTAAACCTGCAACAAGGTACATGCCCTTGACCAAGAATCGAACCCGAGACCCTTCAGTCCAAGGGCCAAGGCTCTAATCATTGAGCCAAACCAGCCAGGTTTTTTTTATCTTTTTAAATCTGAAGAGTAGATGTAATAATGCACTTCACTTAGATTACCCTGAGCAACTCCTAAACTGGACCAAAAAGTTTCATTTCTTGGAAATTGGTGGTAGCAAGATAAGATTTCTAAAATCCAGAGTTCATCTCCACAGATGAGTCTCTCAGTTGCATGTTTTCCTTTTGTTTACCTTAAAATTTCTGCTGCTCTAAGCTGAGCGTATGACAAAGCTGGCTAGGAATGAGCACAACACTGAGCCATGTCCAGCAGTTATAATAGAAGTGATATTAATTATACTAGAGGCCTGGTGCACAAAATTCATGCAGGGGTGGGGGTGTCCCTCAGCTCAGCCTGTTCGCTCCCAACTGTCCTCCCCTGCAGGCCTGGTTGCCCCCAACTACCCTCCCCTGCAGGCCTGGTCACCTCCAACTGCCCTCCCTTGCCTTCCTGGTCCCCCACAACTGCTCTCCCCTTCAGGCCTGGGTCCCCCCCAACTGTCCTCCCCTGCTGGCCTGGTCACCCGCAACTGCCCTCCTCTTCTGGCCTGATCGCCCACAACTGCCCTCCCCTGCTGGCCATCTTTGACTAAGGAGATGCCATCTTGTGTGTTGGAGTGATGGTCAATTTGCATATTACTCTTCTAATTGATAGGATAACACAAATCCATATTCATAGTTGAAAAAATAGAAAGTACAAATAAGCAAAACAAAAATATTAAAAAGCTCACTACACTTAACATTTTGCTATTTACTCTTCCAAACTTACATTTTGCTATTTACTCTTCCAAACTTTTTTCTGTGATAATGATATATGTTCTTTTTGTACAAAAATGGGATCATATTGTGCATAGTGTGTGATAATCTGTTTTCCTCACTCTGATTCACATGTAGGCATCTTTTCTTGCTAGTAAATATAAAATATCTTTTTAGTGGCTACAGAGAATTCCATTATCACTAGACCCCCAAATATGTTTTTTTAAACCCATAAGTTTATTGTTAAACATTTTGGCTTTTTCCAATTTTTAGTTTTTATTTATTATAAAATTGCCGCACACTTCTAATTATTAAGCTTTGCATAAATATCTAGAAGAAGAATTGCTAGTTTAAAATATTTGCAATTTTAAAGCTTGACTAGCCTGCTGTATGATTTACCTTTTCTCAACACTTTCTTTAGGGAAATATGCTTTCCCCCACATCCTCTCCAATACTGGATTTTATTATTTTTACTGTTTTGGTAAATCTAATAGGTGAAAATAGTATGGTATTTACCTTTAGTTTTTCTTTCATTATTATTTATTTCTAGAAAGAATAAACATTTTTTTCAAAGCTCTGTTGGTCATTTAATTTCTTTTTCTGAATTGCTTATTGATACTTTGCTCATATTTAAAATGGATCAATTCTCTTTTTTATTAGTTTGTGTATTAATAATAATATTTTTGTTCATCATGAACAAGCACTTTTCTCCAGTTTGTCATTTTCCTTCTAATTTTATATACAGTGGTTTTTAAAGTACAGAAAATTTGAGTTTTTAATGTAGTTAAGGCTATCATTTCCTGATATGGTTTTTGATTTTGTGTCATGCTTTGAAACTAGTCTCTATCTTAAAATTATAATGATATTTACCTATAATTTTTCTATATTTTTTTCTTTATCTTTAATATTGAAATTTATCTGGGGTCTATTTAAAGTGTGAGGTAGGGCCCTAGCTGGTTTGGCTCGGTGGATAGAGCATCGGCCCACAGACTGAAGGGTCCAGGTTCGATTCTGGTCAAGGGCACATGCCTGGGTTGCGGGCTCGATCCCCAGTGTGAGGCATGCAGGAGGCAGCCAATCAATGATTCTCTCTCATCATTGACGTTTCTATCTCTCTCTCCCTCTCCCTTCCTCTCTGAAATCAATAAAAATATATTAAAAATAAATAAAGTGTGAGGTAGGGCTTTAAGTTTCCCCTTCAAATGTTAGTTGTCTGAAGACTATTTATTAAATTATCCACTTGCTGTGAAATACTACATTTATAATCTATTAGAGGTTTACATATACTTGAGGCTATTTTATTGTTATTAAATTCGATTCCATGAATAATTCTTATTTGGGTCTGTGTGTACATAGCTGTAATTATTGGAGCATGTTCCCTGCAAATCCTGGCCCCTCCCCACTATCTCACAATTACTTTTTCCTTCTTTTAGAATTGTCCTGGCTATTTACACACAGTGATTCTTCCAGATCAAATGTTCATTGGGATCTTTAAGAGACAGGGTTGATTTTAAAATGATAAAATTTTAAAATGAAAATCCTTTCACTCAGAAACACAATATGTCTCTCCATTTATTTAACAATTTTTAATTAAAATTTGAACAATTTCTTTTTATGTTATCCCATGCATTTTTTGGTTATCTTTATGCCTGGGTATTTCACATCTTGTGTTGCTTTTATGGTAGTATGAATGCTGAATGTGCTAACAGTGGCTTTTTAGCCTAGTAGATAGAGCACAGGATCCGATGGCTGGATCTTGAACCAGGGCTCAGCCACTTCCTTGTTGTGTGACCTTGGGCAAGTTAGCCTTTCTTAGCCTCAGTTTTCTGTTCTCATCTCATCTGCAAAACATACCTAATAATACCATGTATCTTATAGGGTTGTTGTAAAGAATAAATGAGACTCTCAGAGGGAAGGGGTGGGGGGGGGGGGCGCGTAGAGGGAAGAGATTAACCAAAGAATTTATATGTATATATTATATGCATAATCTATGAACACAGGCAATAGTGTGGTGAAGGCCTGGTTGAAGGGAGAGGGATGTGGGGTGGAGAGGGTCAAAGGGGGAAAAACGGGGACATCTGTAATACTTTCAACAATAAAGATAAATTTTAAGAAAAAGAATATATGAGAAAATGTAGGTAAAGTACTATACCCCAAGCCTAACATACAGGCACTTGAATGCACGTTATTATTATTCGTTTTTAAGCGATAGCACTTGGTATTCCCAGGTAGTCTCCTATCCAAGTTTTAACCAGGCCCGACCCTGCTTAGCTTCAGAGATCAAACAAGATGGGGTGTGTTTGGGGTGGTATGGCCATAGATTGCATGCTATTCTTATTTTGAAGATTCTACAATAGCAAATATTTGTCTGTGAAACAGGAGCTGGAACATTGCTCCAAATATCCAAAGGCTTTAAGAAACCATCTTCTGGAACAATCTTTCGATTTCTGACCAGAATGTGCTTAAATGTGGTTTCTTTAGAACACTCTACAAGCATTTTGAAGGCTTAGTGTGTGACACTGCCCACCAACCAGAACTCACTCACGTAAAGCACCAAAGAGCTCAGGAGCTCACGCATGGCGCTTCCTACTACAGCTCTGCGAACCCTGAGCAATGTGACAGACCCCATGACATGGGACAGTCCCAATGTGGGTACAAGTTGCTTCAGCTGTGGGGCATCGTGTCATTCCCAGTGTCGCAACTCTCACATGCAAACTTTCAGCAGTGGCTCCACAGCCTGTTAGTAAGTCAAGAACCTGGGATCTGGCCTGCCATCTGAGCCTGGAGGCATTCTCCCTCTCACGCATTCCTTCATTTAGTTAGATGTGCTTCCTGCTGTCTTTGAGGCTATTTATCATCTCTGTGAAATAATCAAATAAGCCCAGACGTTTTAAACTCTGGCAGATTCTAGAGTTCCCTGTTAAAAATATCTTGGCAAGCTGCCCCAGAATTGCAACAAATAAAATAAGTGATCTTGCTTCAGACCTCTATTGCTTGCCTTGATGTTAATTGGTTAGGTCTTAGTAACTTATTTATGACGGTAACATTAGTGAGTAATTTTTCTTGGAGTGTATATAGATATTTTAAGCATATGGGACAGCTTTCCCCAAAGCCTGTGTAGTAACAAGCCTACAAACTAGAAAAACAAATTGAATGGTTAAAAAGCATCATCTAATTATTTTTAAGAAAGCACTTAATTAGAACGCTACCAGTTAAATGAGGACAGATGCAGCTCTGACACCTTGTTTCATAACTGCCCCTTTGTTGCCGTCAGGATCAGATAAGCCATCTTTGTTCTGATCAGTTTATCGTGTAACAATCCCTCTTTATGACCACAGTTAATGTTCCCCTCTCTCCGAAGATGACAATAAACCTACGCTAAACCTTTCTTGCGATATGATGCTCTCTAACTTGGTTTTTGGAAAGTGCGGAGTTCCGTTTAGCACAAAGTCACGTAACAATTAGATCATGCTCCCTTTCTCTGCATCAATATAATGTCCCTTCTCCTTCCCGAAAGAGGCCTGGTCTGGGTGAAATTACAGAGGTCATGCATCTGGCTAACATCAGAGTCAGGCCTAGAGTTAGTCCAGAGCACATAGATCATGCTCATAGTGTAGACTTATTCTGGGCCACTATTCAAGCAATGCTGTGGTTTGTTAAATTTAGTACATCTTCCCACCCCCCTCCCCACACACCTGCATTTTAACAGTGTTCCTTGAGGTTATCATCTTGTAGGATTGTAAACTGTCCCATTGTATCCCTCATAATACTTAGCTTAGATTTAAGGGAAGCCAGTTGGCACTTAATACACTTAATATTCAATCCTTCTTGACTTATGACTTTTGATGGACTAGAGAGGAAAAGAGAAAAGAGATCATAAACGAAGAAAATAATTGGAAGTGGCCACAGAGATTTACTTGAGTGGAGAGGCCGAAACAGTTCATGCAAAAAGCCTGTTGTCTTGCAATTAATGGTTCAGGTCTTGTCAACGACTGCACTACATGATGAACATCATCTGCCAAATTCTTTCATGTATTAGTTTCATGGTGGCTGGCTTTCTTGCTGCTAAGGGTTATTGTTGTTTTTTGTCTCCAATTTGTCTTTTAATTTATGGAATATCTCTTATTTTAACTAATAAAAGAAAAGGAAAAATGCAGTTTTAAAAGAAACTCTTCTCTAGATTAACCTTTATCATAAACTGATTGTGTAAACTTGGCCAAGTCAATTAACCTCTCTGAGTTGCAGGTTTATGCAGATGAATTATTTCATTTTTAACTGGTTGTCTTGGCATGATGTAGACAGTGCCAGACACATATTAGGTGCTCAATAAATGTATTTTGAAAAATTACATCAACAATTGTACTTTCTCAAAAAAAAAAAAAAAAAGACAAAGAGAAGGGAAGAAACAGGAAGAAATAAAAAATATATATTAAACTAACCTGGATTTCTCTGAAAAATATTGAAGTGATTGATTTTTCTAATGTCATTGCATTCAGACATGAATCAATAAACAATAGTTATCTTGCCTTGAGCTATGCTACTCAGTGGTTAGAGCATTGGCTGAAGGGTTTCAGGTTCAATTCCTGATCAAGGGCACATATCTGGGTTGCAGGTTCTAGTCCAGGCCCCTCTTGGGACATGTGTGGGAGACAACAAATCCATGTGTCTCTCTCACATCCATGTCTCTCTCTCTCTCTCTCCCTATCTCTCCCCACCTTTCACTCTCCCTAAAAATCAATGGAAAATATATCCTTGGGTGAGGATTAACAACAACAACAAAAAACAACAACAACAAAAAACACCTAAGCATTGGACATATAGAAAATGCTATCTATACAAATGTCTTGTTGTTATTACTGTACTTACAAAATTATAAATCCACTTGGAGGGTACCTAATCTAATTTTCCCCCTAATCTTTTCCAACTAGAGGCCCAGTGCATGAATTCATGCACAGGTTGTGTCCAGCTGGCCCAGCCCCAGTCGGTGGATCAGGACCAGGAGGAGACAGCGGGAGGTTGGCCAGCCAGCCCACCCTGATCGGGGCCGATCAGGGCCAGGCCGGCTGGGGGGAGGGGCTGTGGGAGTTTGGCCAGCTGGCTCCACCCCCTGATCAGGCCGGTTCACTGGCTGCAGTGGGCATCATAGCGACCAGTCGTTCCGGTTGTTACAGTGTTCTGGTCGCTGGCTTTTTATATATATAGATGATGTTACTGTGGCCAACAGGCATACAGGGAAAGAAGATGGGCACTTGGCTAATATTTGCAATTTCTTTTCTATGGTTGTTCACCTAAGCTTGCAGAGATAAAAACACCAAGCTTTCAGGAAATTATCTAAATATAAAGGCCTTGGGAAGAAGGAAGAGGCTGGCTAGCCTATAGGCACCAAAATAAAAAGGATTCTACCTTTCTTGCTTTTATCACTATCTAGTGGCACTCGGGAAGGTGTTGTGAGGGTAGGGTAGACAATGAGGGAGTGCATTCTTTAGAAAATTTAAACAACAATGAAACCAACTCATTGGGTCTGTTCTTTGTTATCACCATGAGCTGGCAATGCTTAACAATGTCAGTGATGAAATCTCTCCAACTCTAAGGCAGACCTCTCCCACCAACCAGCCCCACCCCTTGGACACTATTCCACTGACACTGTTCCCAATACCTCAGACAATGCCTGGCACATAACAAGTATGACTTGCAGTAGAAGGTGATAATGGGAGAAATGAGAATCTAGAACTCTGCCTCCCCTACAATTCCTTTGTCTTTTCCTATTGAAATTTTTAGAAACATGAAAACCATAATATAAATTTCCCATATACTTTGTACATCTCTGGCCCTTATTTAAATCCTATGCAAACTTTTAAATTCCACAGCCCAGGGGGAAATGTCCCTGCAATGAGGACAGGGCAGGCCAATGGGATATGTGGGAAAAGTTCAGAAAGACCTGAGAGTATGAACCCTAACAAGAGAAGGTTGAAGGGTCGAAGTTTCTGCACACAGTGTGACACATTAAGTTTAGGATGGTGACCAGATGGACTCCCTTTTCCCAAAAGCACAAAAGACAATATATAACAGAGCTGCTATGTCAGGCTGACTTTCCAGCATCAAGAAGGGCTGAACTCTGCAAACAGACTCTAGAAGTCATCATTAGCAGGAGGATGGGGAAGTGTGTTTTCCACTGAGGTCAAGCCTCAGTGACTATGATATACTTTCTGAAGCATTAGAGTCACCTGTAACTGCTTAAATGGTAGAGGAAAGGTGACTCATGTTGGTAAAAGCCAATGGGGAATTTGGGGGGTAATGACTTGAGCCCTATACTGGACATACTTAGTGGCCCACTTTTAGGTAAAATAAAAATGCAGGGGAAATACTCCTTTGTAATGTCCTTTGTGATACTCCCCCTAGCATTTTTTTTTTATTGCTTAAAGTATTACAAAGAGTATTACATAGGGCATTTTTTCTCTTATCTGTTTATTAATATCTGGTGTCTCATTTAGATAAGACAGAATATTTTCTGAAGCAGCAATACATTTTAACATGCAAATACCTGGTGAGGTAACAACAGGTAACATCTGCGATAAGATATATAGACCTCTGTATCAGAGCAGAGGTCGCCTAAGAAAGATTGTGGTGGTTTGTTGTGGGGACAGATATAGAATAGTGACTTCTTCGGTAAGGTTTAGGGGAAGGTGCAGATTAAGGTTCCAAAAGACAAACATCTGATTGATCCAACAATCAGTCTTTTCCTGCAATGCTCTGACCTAGGGCCCCAATGGTAAGTGACCACACTCAGGAGGCATTTAAAATGATTGGCACAGGACCTCTGGTCAGCATGGAGGGAGCGAAGGTGGGTGCTATTTATCCTGCTCTGAACGTTTATTCTGTTTATTCCGACAGAACTGTAATGTCTCAGTCATGGGCTCAGTCAAGTTCTCTGCTTGTTGGTCTTCTCGAGTCACCTCTGCCAACAGTGCAGTGCCTTCCAAACCACAGCAGTGCTCTGTGCAGCAGGTCCCTGCCTGAAACGGTCAATCCTGTTTCCTGTGAGCGCTTCCCACATCCTGACCAGACAATTCTCTTATCAAAACACCTCAAACATGGTCATTTCTATCCTCACAAAAGATAATATAATTTAAATGAGATTGTGGAATGCTAAGACACCCAAGCCCCATGCACTAGAATTTTCTATCAAGCAGAGCCACCTAGTGGTAGAATGAAATGTTTTTTTTTAATTCTCCTTTAATTTCTCTCATATAATAATCCCATCTAGGTGGGGTTCCCTCCCTCCCTCCCTTCATCCCTCCCTTCCACCCTCCCTCCTCCCTCTTTTCCTCCCTTCCTCCCTCCCTCCCTCCCTCTCTCTCCCTCCCTTCTTTCCTGTTCATTTTACTCACTCCTGTTTTCAGCTACCCCCTTTCAGACTATCACCTCTATTTTCCTTACTGAACATCTACTCATCCAAGATAAACAAACCTACAGTTTGTTATAATCAGAGAGTTTTACAACTAAAACAGAAGCGGACTTGAAAGTCGGTGTCTCTTTAGAAGGGCAAGAAAATGTCAACACTAAATTATTTCTAAAGATAAAGAGTAACTATTTACTTTGTGCCTTTCTATTTTCCCAAACTCACACTTCCTTTTCTTCACACTGCACACATATGCAGCCATGGAAAATGTCACATAAAATGTACAGGCACAGAGAAGGTGAGCAAACGTGCAATGCTGTGGTCTCCAATCCCCTCCCAGTATGCACATGGAATCTATGGCAGAAATTAGAAGTACCTTGGGGTGTGGTTTGATTCCTTTTCTTCTTTTAAAGTAGGTAAGCATTCACTGTCGGCTAGGACAGAATGAAAGCAAACGCATTGTTAGTCACTGAAATTCTGTTTTCTATCCACAAAACTCACACAGTTAAACTTCACAATTCCCCAGTCTGTATGTGCAGAAATGGCCTCACCAGGGAGTTGCAGAGGTTCAGAGATTAATGGTGGCAAGGCTCTTGAAATGGACAAAGCACTAAAGCACAGATACAAGACTTCCGTGTGCTTCTGGCCCTGTTGGAAAGGGCACAGATAATGGTGGCTTGGTCATTCAGTCTCTGCAGAACCCCACTGTGGCTCCAAAAGCCTGAATCTGCATGATTCAGGATACACGCTGGAATAAAACGGCTTCACCTGCGGTCCTGATGTGCCGGGAGAATGACTCCAATCAGGATGCACCGTCAGAAACAAGCAGGTAAAGTGGGGGGCAGCTAACCTTAAAGTCATCAGAATTCTGTTACACCACTGCCATTTTGAAGGGAAATAAAGAACTATTGGGCCTATCACCTATGTGTCAAAATAACTGCTTTAGTGTCGAATAGAAATGCCTTTCCCCTATTTTATGCTTTTAGTCAGTGTACCAGGATCATGGTTTTGTATTTAACAGATCTCAGGAACAAAAGGGAATCCACCAAAATTTTAAGAAAGGTCGTTTTTGAGTGGTGGGATTCTTTTTCATCCTACTTTTTTTTTGAATTGTCTAAATTCTACTGTGTATGTATTTTACTTTTATAAACTAAAAACAACAAAATGAATCTACTTTAAGGATTGTTTCCTTTCCTCACAAGCTTTCCAGAGCCATTCAATCCTCAGTATTGGATTACGAAAAACTGTTCAAAATTGTGCAAGTTAGTTAAGTGGTTCTAATCTTTTGGAAAACTGGTCTTGATAAGCCTCTGGTACAATAATTCTAATAACAAATCTTTAAGTTATATAAACTCCATTGTAGATTGTTGAATCTGACAGACCCCGGGGTATTTTTTATGGTAAGTGTTAAAAATACAAATGAGCCGAAACCGGTTTGGCTCAGTGGATAGAGCGTCGGCCTGCGTACTGAAAGGTCCCAGGTTCGATTCCGGTCAAGGGCATGTACCTGGGTTGCGGGCACATCTCCAGTGGGAGATGTGCAGGAGGCAGCTGGTCGATGTTTCTAACTCTCTATCTCTCTCCCTTCCTCTCTGTAAAAAATCAATAAAATATATTTAAAAAAAATACAAATGATATGACAGTATAAATAGTGGATTTTATTAAAAATAATTTATTGATTTTTTTAAAGAAATTAGAAAAACAGCTGTCATTATTTTTAAGTTCAAATATTTAGTGAAAACTAAGGAACATACACTGCAATTACTGCCAGATATCAATTGGAAATTAGGTTATATGGGGACATTCATATTACTATTTATGTTAGCAGCTTTCTTTACAGTGATGGGAATGTTCTAGACTTTCATTATAGTAGCCACTAGCCACAAGTGGCTACTGAGTACTCAGAATGTGGCTAGAGTGACTGAGGAACAGTATTTAAAATTTTACTTTCAAAATTTTAATCTCAATAAGCCACATATGGCTAGTGTCTATTGTATTGGACAGCACCGATCTGTCAACTATATTTGACAAAGTTTATAACCAGATACAGATCAAAATCATAAATCTCTAAATATAAGGTGAGGCCAAAAGCTAACTTTTTCCAGATAATTTGGACTCCGATTTCCTTGCTTGAAAAAAAGACCATTTTCTTCTTGAAAAAGATCATTTGAAAAACTTGTACAAAATTAAAAACAAACGGCAATGATGCGGTTATTGAACTGAATACTTAAGGGCGGTCAGACCCAAGTGTGTTATCTGTGTGTACCAGAGTGTATGTGGACTGGGCTCACGCGGTTCCACTCCAGGATTTATGGGGGATTGACAAAGCTGTTGCAGCCTTCTGTGAGTAGAGAGGACAGAAAAGCAAGGTTCCCACATACCATTTCTATGCATGCTCATCCACTTATCAAGCTCTTCCATCTCTATTTCCATTACAGAGGGTGTATCTTCCTCAAAAATAGGGCTAGAAAGAGAGCAAAAAACTTGTTGAAAGAAAGAAAGGTATGGTGGGCTGAATTTCTGTGGGGGAGTCTAGCATGTTAACTGTGAGGAAGATGAACTTGATTCAGTGCCTTACACTCCAGGGTAGGCTGAGCGTGTGCCCTGTTCAAATGTACCAAACTCTAATAGGGAGAAAATAAGAACAACAATCTTGACCTACCACTGATCCAAAAATGGAGGGCGCATAACCCAGCACAACCCAGCGAGGGGGGAGAGGGGGGGGGTTAGGGGAGGGGGTAAAAGGGAACCGGAGACTCCGCTTCCCGGAAGGCACACAGGGGAGCACACAACTCCTCCAGGGAGTTGCCACATTTAGCAATTTCACCTTGCTCAATTTCACTTCCCTTTCTTTGGTGTTTTTGATCACTGCCCCCAAGTCAAGAGGCTACAGTCAAAGAATTGCTTGCATCACCTCTCCCTTCAATTCCCATGCTTTTCTGTCTTGGAGAAAGTGAGCAGTTCCTTTCAGAAATCCACTGCCCTCACTTGCCAGGGTTTAGAGGTTTAGGGCACCCAGTTTGGAGAAAGAAGCCCCTGGTTAATGGAGGTGGGGAGGAGGAGGGCATCACCAACTCTGAACAGCTGCCAAGGTGTTACACCTTGAATAGGAAGCAAGCCAAGTGTCTGAGTAAGGCTGCTGTGGTTGGGGTGGAGGCTGGAGGAGGATGTGGGCATCGCTCTAGAGTCTAGAACATTCTCCCGTGGTAAATCTTCTACTTCCCCCCTCCCTCCGATCTTTCTTCCTCTCCCCTCTTCCTTCTACCAGGGATCTCCTTCCTTAATACCAGCTGAAGTATCTTTCCTGGTGATAAAAATTTTAATCCGAATAAATGAAGCAAATTCTTTGAAAACCACCCAGCGTCAGAATATTTACGATGCGTTTGGAATTGTCAGTGGGAATCAGAAAAAAGATTGTTTTCTGAACAGAGGACCCTGTCCTCAGCCCAGATCCCCTTCTAGGTTGAGGTTTGAAGACAGGGACATCCTTCCAAAGGCTGTAGACTTCTGGGGCTCAGGAAGCAAGAGGTCCCCACAAGGAACAAAAACTCTTGTAAGGACCGATGGTCCTCTAATCTGCTCCCCTCCCGACCGTCCTTGTCCACGCCGAGCTGGACCGGAGGGAGTGGGGAAGACTTACACTTTCAGGTTGTCGCCTCCCAGTTCATCTAGAAGAGAATAAACATAAAGGTCATGCTGGCTTTGTTTGTCCGGAACAGCTTTTTATTTCAACAACAGCTGAAATCTGCTTCACAAAGAGAACAAAATGGCCTTAAGTAAATTGCGTTTTTAAAGGAGCAATAATTAACCTCTAAATCAGTGGCTCTCAACCTTCCTAATGCCTCGACCCTTTAATACAGTTCCTCATGTTGTGGTGACCCCCAAACATAAAATTATTTTCGTTACTACTTCATAACTGTAATTTTGCTACTGTTAGGAATCCTAATGTAAATATCTGATATGCAGGATGTATTTTCATTGTTACAAATTGAACATAATTAAAGCATAGTGATTAATCACAAAAACCATATGTAATTATATATGTGTTTTCCGATGGTCTTAGGCGACCCCTGTGAAAGGGTCGTTCGACCCCCAAAGGGGTCTCGACCCACAGGTTGAGAACCGCTGCTCTAAATCAAACATGTGTCGATTGCCATATTGAAATGAAGTCCCAATCCATTGGAAATATGTTTTCTTTTAGATGGGAGGTGCTCCGAGTGCACTCACTTCAGCTCAGATGTTCATCCCTCTTTGTTTTCTCCACACAAAGAGGACAAGCAGTGGTAAGGGGGGTAGAAAAGGGCCTTACAAGAGAGCCCCCTGCCCCAAAATGTCCCCGTTCAAAGCACTGCTTTTCATCTACTTGTGACACACTAAACCTAACACTGTGACTGTCCCTTTGACCCAGAGTAGGATGTGGGGACTCCATCCAGAGCTCATCTCAGAAGAATCCTGGCACCTGCTCTTTGCATGACTGGAACCCTCACTTCTATCCTCAATTTACACACTTTCCTCAGGGAGGCCTCCCCCGACTCCTCTACCTGAAGTGGGGCCCATCTTCCCAACTGTTCCCCAGCTGAACACTTTGCTTGCTTCCTTCATAGCATTGGCCCCAATTTGTCACTGATCGATTCATCTGTTTAATTCTTTCCCATCGTTTTTTTTCCAATAGACCATTGCTCCCAAAGGACAGAGATTGTGTTTGTCATAGCGCCCCTCACCTCCCATCCATCCAGTGCACTACCTGGGAAACACACAGTACTCATTTACTGAATAGATGAACAGATCTTAATCTGGATTTTGTCCAGCGCTGGGGTTAAATTCATGGCTGGTGTTTTGGACTTAACATTATCAAATAGTGAAACTTCCAACAAGTCTGCTGTTCCCTGCTATTGGTTGAGGTAAGAGTCAGACCACAGTTTGCAAAACAGCTCTACTGCACGCCTGCTTCCAACAAGCCTGGTTTTCCCTGCCTTTCCCTGCTTTTCCTGCTATTGGTTGAGGTAAGAGTCAGACAACCATTTGCAAAATGGCTCTGATGCATGCAGATCAGACTCCAAATGAACATGTGGCAGGAATCAGAGCCCAGGGTCCCAGCGCAGGTTGTGTTTTGTTTGGCAAGAGGATCAACGCACCCAGAGAAATGAGGCTATGATGTCAAGCAAGTGGATAGCACAGGCCTGCTGCACCTTTTATGATGTGAAAACCATGAAGGAACAAACCACTTTGTAGAGGTCCACCAAATAGTTGGATGTTCCTAATCCTTGGCAGTCAGAGGCCTCATTTTGTCTGGTCTGCAGAAATGCAGGTCCCCAGTGAGGGGACATAACCAGCAGGCACTTGGAACTGAGCTCCTGGCCGCAGCTGGGAGCTCCTGTAATTTTCTGTGGGTTGGCAAGCTTGAATGGCATTGCTAATCCAGGAAAGCTGGGCACAGATGTAAGTTTCATGCCATCACTGCTTACCTTCCAGGGGCTGTAGGTTATGTCCTCCTGATTCCCACCCGCTGCCCCCCAAATAGGAATCTGAAGATTCCTGCAGAGGCCTGACTCCTTAAAACTTTGGAGGAAGGGGAGATGTACATCTTATATTTATGTGTATATACATATATATGTATGTATATGTATGTGTGTGTGTATGTATGTGTGTGTATACTAGTATATATTTTTTTCATCTAAAATTTACATACTGTTTCCTTAAGGGCTTTTACTCTAAATAAAGCCACTACAGGTGACCCATAAAAATCTCCTGTTTTGTCATTCCCTCTCCCTCTTCCCTGTTTAATCCCCCCCCACTCCCCCCCCCCAAGTAATTTCTCAGGGAGCAAGTGTCCCTGGAGCCCCACTGTCTAGGCATGGATTTATCTCTATAATCTGAGCGCCTGCAGGCTTTGTGGTGAGTAAAAGCTAGCCCTCACTGCAGATGATGGAAAAGTTTAAAACCCCATTACCAAAGTGCTCCAGAGGCACCAAATGGGAAGCTCCTATAATCAGTATTCAAACAGAGCAAAAAGCTTTCTGCAGCCTCATCT